CGTGCGTCATTTGTCCTCTTCGGTTGTCAAATCCATAGCTTACGAATGTCGACACACACCACGTGGTCGTTTACCACTCTTAAAAAATGAGATAAAGAAATCAATATTCTCGTTGACTAATTATTGAAAGTTAAATTTCGTTTAGAAATAAATTTTCTGACTCAATATTTTCTGATCTATAATTTAAATGTTAGGAATCTCGTGTATTTATATTTAAAACCTGACTTCGTTTGATTAAGTGTACGTGCTGGTTTATCGAAGATTTTGTACAGGTTGATACAAAATTGTAACGAACTTTATAACGAAAGCATATAGAAATTTTAAAAAGTTTCTAAGGTGAAATTGCAAAATCAGACTCTGAAGTATAGTCTAGAGTATCTCTGAAGAAAGTATGACAAAATATTGCTTTCTAGCTTCAAACTACTAGAATTACGAAATCACATTTTGCACATTTTTAGAAACGTGTCCTTGTCTCTCCTGACCGAAACAACATAAGATAAAGAAGAACCGTGCGTATCAATTTTCCAGAGATGGCTAAAATCAGCCCTGAGTTTATTTGTCATCAGAGTCCACCCTCTCGAAGAGAGTGAAGTTCTCAAAGATGTCTGAATGGCTCACCCTGTAGAATCGTTGCAATTTTCTATTATTTCTTTAAGTAAATGTTAATTTTTTGGCCCCTGAAACGGTACACCATTAGAACCACTCTTCTCACAGCACTGTTCAATGTTAAATATACGTATGCATGTATTTATATATATGTATACATAATTCGGATATAGATAGGCGTAGAGATCGCAGAAAATAGAGAGTGGACAGTATATATGTGTATATATATGTGTTGTATGTATATATATATATATTTTTTTATCTTTCATATTTGTTGTTAAAACGTCCAAAAATGAATATTCTTCTGATGAGATAATCGGTATCTATCATCATCACAATACCCGTTCTTTTGAGGAAAACACGCAAATTACAGTAACACGTCAATCCGTTAACATACATCTACACAAAAACTAACGTGGACTTATTTTGATCGTAAATTAGGAATATATTAGTGTAGGTATGCACTTGTTTATTTATAACGTACGAGAATTTATGGGGGAAATTCTGTCGTTTATTGTGTCGATGAATATGAAAACTTCATTGGGAAGTAATTTTTTTATATCGAAATGAACTCTGTATTTGATGAATTTTTAGGGATATGATTTGGGGATTTTTAGGGATTTAAAATTTTGGGGATTTATGATTTGAGGATTTTTAGGGTTTTAGGATTGCGAGATTTTTAGAATTTGGTGATTTGATACTTTAGGATTTTGGAGATTTGGAAATTTAGGAATTGGGAAAGGTAATGTAAAAAATTGGGGAAAATTAGGAAATTTAGAAATTTACAAAATAAGGTTGACTTCGGAATTTAGAAATTGAAAATTCAGGAATTTGAGAATTTGCGAATTTGGCTATTTGGAAATCTAGGGATTTAGTAATTTGGAAACTTGAGATCCAGAAAATTAATCATTTAAGTATTTATAAAATTGACAATTTGAAAATTTGTAAATTACAATACCCAGAAATTTAGTGATCTCAGGATTTTAAAATGTTTAAATTCAGCAACTTCGCAAAAAAAGTTCACAGTGTACATCATATCTTAAATTTACCCTCGTCATCAGATTAAAAGCGCCCTATCTCCGCACTAAATAATAACAGAAAATTGTCGTAATAGAATTCATTTCGCTGATTAAAGGCAATCATGTAATTAAATTATTTCGTTCCATCAAGCAAAGAAACGACAGAACATCCCCAGGAATTTCGTATCATTTATATCTCGCATTTTTCAGTTTATCTTATCTTTTCCATAAGTATCATCAAATTTATCGTATATACAAGTTGCATTAAAAAGATTAAATTGGTCTTATTGTACATTAACGACGTAACTTTAGTGGCCACTAAATTCATGCCATGGTCCAATTTAAATTCCTTCGTACCTGTCCTAGATTTGATTTCATTGATTCCTCTTTTCGATTAACCCTTTGACTGCTGTAAGATGGTTTCTCTTTCTCGGTAACATGAATATTTTCACGTTTTATTTCTGTTATTTAATGAATTAACAGAATTTTGTCATACTTGGTAGATGTAGATCCCTCGTTTTACGCGGAATTTTATTTTATACGTGTTCTGGTTTTAGTGAATTATTTTTTTTTTTAAGAAAAGAGATGAATAGACTTGAATTTTTAATATACATACAAATTTACTGTATTGGGTATTGTATATATTTACAAATTTTCAAATTTGGGTATTTGGAGGACGGAGGGGTTGCAAATGTGGGGATTTGGATATTTGAAAAGGCAGAAATGTAGTGGAATTTTGAAATTTGAGAATTTGGGAATTTGAGAGATTGAAAATTTCAATATTCAGAAATTTGGAGACTCGAAAAATATAGAGATCTGAGGGGATATAGGGGTGCGTCAATTGTAGAATTTAAGAATTTGGGAATGTAGAAATATGGATGTTTCAGGAACTTGAAAATTTGAGAATTTGGGAATGTAGAAGTTTGGAAGCCCAGAAAAATTTGTAGAGTTAGGAAATTTGAGAATTTGGGGATTTGAGAATTTGGGAATTTGATAATTAGGAAATTTGAGAAGATGGGAATTTGAGAGATAGGAAACTTGAGAAGTTGGAAATTTGGTAAGGTGGAAATTTGAGAGTTAGGAAACTTGAGAAGTTGGAAATATGATAGTTAGGAAATTTGAGAAGTTGAGAATTTGATAGCTAGGAAATTTGAGAAGTTGGAAATTTAATAACTAGGAAATTTGAGAAGGTGGAAATTTGATAGTTAGGAAATTTGAGAAGTTGGGAATTTGATAGCTAGGAAATTTGAGAAGTTGGAAATTTAATAACTAGGAAATTTGAGAAGGTGGAAATTTGATAGTTAGGAAATTTGAGAAGTTGGGAATTTGAGAGATAGGAAACTTGAGAAGTTGGAAATTTGGTAAGGTGGGAATTTGAGAGTTAGGAAACTTGAGGAGTTGGAAATATGATAGTTAGGAAATTTGAGAAGTTGGGAATTTGAGAGATAGGAAACTTGAGAAGTTGGAAATTTGGTAAGGTGGGAATTTGAGAGTTAGGAAACTTGAGAAGTTGGAAATATGATAGTTAGGAAATTTGAGAAGTTGGGAATTTGAGAGATAGGAAACTTGAGAAGTTGGAAATTTGGTAAGGTGGAAATTTGAGAGTTAGGAAACTTGAGAAGTTGGAAATATGATAGTTAGGAAATTTGAGAAGATGGGAATTTGAGAGATAGGAAACTTGAGAAGTTGGGAATTTGATATCTAGGAAATTTGAGAAGGTGGAAATTTGATAGTTAGAAAATTTGAGAAGTTGGGAATTTGAAAAATAGGAAATTTGAAAAATTGCAAATTTGATAGTTAAGAAATTTGAGAATTTGAAAATTTGTGAACCCAAAAACTTGAGAATCTACCAACTCAAAACCATGGACCATTGATCAATCATCTTGATCTTAAAAATAAACTTCCCAATTTGCCTTCAAATTTCCAAATCCATAAACCAAATAACTTTTCAATTACTAAACTAATAAACTTCTAAATTTTCATACAATCCATCTCAATTCTTTCATAACACAAAAAAGTCACCATATAAAATCAAAATTTCGAGTAAGCCGAGGGACAATCATGATGTACATTTAGTCGATGGCAGATTCAATTTCGATTAAACACGTAATACAATGCAAATTAAAAGGTACGTATATAATTTATCAAATGGATTTTTACAAAAATAAAAATGTTTATTTAACGCAATTGTTCTTTATTACAGATTTATAGAACACTAATTACTTGAGCTTACTTTAATGAAAAACAAAAAAAATGTTAATAAAACATCAAAGGATTAATCAAGCAACACAGATGAGTTTTACTATGAAATACATCTTGATATCGATTTTAAATGAATGCAGGATGAATCAACATATAGGATGTTGACAAACTTATTCTTATTTATCGATATATACTTTGATCGTCGAGAAAAATTCTCGAAATCGATTATTCTTAAACACTAACATTAATGAAAATTCATGAAAGAAACAGTGTTCGCGTTCGTTTTGATTAATTGGCACTTTTAATCGCACCTTGGATTTTCCTTTCTCTTTGTTTCTTAACCTCACTTTTCAAACATTTGTTCTGTCGTGAAGAATGGCCATTTTTGTTTTTACAAATTTTACTTTAATTTTACAAATTTTGTTTATAATCTTGCTTTCGATTCAATATAATTAATTTTACAAATTTTGTTTATAATTTTGCTTTCTATTCAACATAATTAATTTTACAAATTTTGTTTATAATTATTTTTCGTAATTTTGCTTTCGATTTAATGTAATTATTTTTACAAACTCTGTTTATAATTATTTCTTATATTTTCGCTTTCGATTCAGTATAATTAATTTTACAAATTTTGTTTGTAATTATTTCTAATTTTTTCTTGAACTGTGTTTTGTGAATTATTAAGGATTTATAAAATATTTACAAATGAAATGAGACTTGTATTTCTTTGAGATATAAATATGGTAAGTATTTAATATAACATTTCAAGAAATTGACAATATTAAATTAGGAAGTTGAGAATTTGGAAAATTAGAGGTTTGATCATTCGAAATTTTGAGAAATTAAGTATTTGGTAATTTGGTAATTTAGTTATTTTGTAATTTTATAATTTGATAATTTGATAATTTGGTATATTGGTAATATAGTAATATAGTAATTTAACAATTTAACAATTTAACAATTTATAAATTCCCAAATTTCCTAACAAAACTTTCTCAACAATTTCCCGAATTTCAAAATTATACAACTGCAGACCAAGTCTCAAATCTCACACATCACCCCAAACATTCACTTATCAACTCACAATTTTCAGAAACAAATAATAACAAATAATCATAAAAAATTACACATCAAAGTTTCCATCATAAAAAATTACAAATCAAAGTTTTCATCATAAAAAATTACAAATCAAAGTTTCGTTAAAAATTTAAGTTAAAATTTAAATGTAAATTTCATTTAACTATCTGTCAACAAATTACTAACAAAACTGGCCATTCCCAAAACGCTACAAATATCCGCAATTTTTCTTCTCACAAATATTTCTCTACACGATCGTGTTCAGTTGTCATCCAGGATTACGTTCTCTGTGTGGAAATTTTCGAGTTCCGCTACGTGGAAAGAATCGCGCCCTTACAATCTACCCTCAGGTACGTGGCGAGATCTTCCACTTGGTTTAAAGTACGTGAAGATTCTCGCAATTCTTGAATTTGCTGTCCTCTTTGCCGAACAGCCAGGTCAACATTTGCCTCGCCTTCATGCTGACTCTTACTACGCCCCTGGATTTGTACCAGTGTCCTCCACCATCGCTGGTGCCGTTCCCTGTGCGATTCTCCGCGTTGCCCTGCACGTTTTTCAGACGAATCTGGTTCAGGATGCCGACTAGGAGGTTGTCCACGTTGTGGTTGATGGCTACGGAGATTTCGACGAACTTCACTCGGTAAGTGCACGCCATGCATTTGCCATCTGCGGAAGAGAGGTGGGAAATTGAGAGAATTGTTTTATGTTCAAAGGTTTAAGGACTGGACGACTTGAAAAAGGTGGATGATTCGGAAGGGGAGGAATATGGAAGTTTTAGTGAGTTGGAGATTTGAGAATTTAGGGACTTGAGAATTTGGGAATTTGTGAAATTAACAAATTAGAGAATTTGGGGATTTGAGAGATAGGAAATTTGAGAGGTTGGGAATTTGAGAATTTGGGGATTTGAGAGGATGGAAATTTGAGGGGTTGGAAATTTGAGAAGGTGGAAATTTGAAGGGTTGGGAATTTGAGAAGGTGGAAATTTGAGAGGTTGCAAATTTGAGGGGTTGGGAATTTGAGAAGGTGGAAATTTGAAGGGTTGGGAATTTGAGAGGTTGGAAATTTCAGGGGTTGGAAATTTGAGAAGGTGGAAATTTGAGGGGTTGAGAATTTGAGAAGGTGGAAATTTGAGAGGTTGGAAATTTGAGGTGTTGGGAATTTGAGAAAGTGGAAATTTGAGGGGTTGGGAATTTGAGAAGGTGGAAATTTGAGGGGTTGGGAATTTGAGAAGGTGGAAATTTGAAGGGTTGGGAATTTGAGAAGTTGGAAATTTCAGGGGTTGGAAATTTGAGAGGCTGGAAATTTGAGGGGTTGGAAATTTGAGAAGGTGGAAATTTGAGGGGTTGAGAATTTGAGAAGGTGGAAATTTGAGAGGTTGGAAATTTGAGGTGTTGGGAATTTGAGAAAGTGGAAATTTGAGAGGTTAGAAATTTGAGAAGTTGGGAATTTGATTCATAGGAAACTTGAGAAGTTAGTAATTCGATACTTCGGAAATTTGAGAACTTAGTAATTCGATACTTAGGAAATTTGAGAACCTAGTAATTTAATACTTATGAAGCTTGAGAACTCAGTAATTTGATACTCCGGAAATTTGAGAAGTCCTAATTTCGCATAACCTTCTAATTCCTAAATAGCCTTGCAAGCTTAACCACACTAATTTTAAACAAAAATTCCTAAAACCTAAATCTCATCACCTTCTACAAATAAAACACAGCTGTAACGGAAAAGTAATACTGAAACTTTAAGAAAAAAGAGAGAACTGATGGTTTTATGATAATATGATTGCAAACCACTGTGCTGTTCACCCTCTAATAACAGCTTGTTTGCGGGGGGTTTACGTAGAATTAGAATAGCAGATGGTAATTTTATTCTTAGGGGTTCTGGTAACGAAAAGTGATTGGCGGAAGTGGTTTTAAGGGCGGTAGATGTTGCAGGTGGTTTCCTTAAAGGAGCAGAAACGATTCTGCAAATTTTCTTGGTTGTTCAAGGATAAGGATGATTGCGTTCGAGGAAACTGAAAATTGGATGGATGGTTGTGTTGGTGTGAAAGGTATTCCATGAAAATAGCTCGTATACTGCGGTATTGAGTGACCTTTCGTTTCATTAGCTTCTTTCATGAAAAGGATATGAGAAATTTTTCTTGTATAAACAAAGAAATGTGTGGGTTTAATAAATTTGTTATTTGAAGGAAATTATTGTACCACTTATCATCTTGTAAGTTATTGGCTACTATATTAATTGTGTGTGTGCTACTATATTAATTATTATATCAGTCACTATACTATATTAATTATTATATATCAATTATTAATATGATATAGGAGTTTTCTCACACCTTCCTCAAAAGTAAGTTTGAAAATAAAATTAACATTACACGTTCTTAACCATGAAATAATTTTTATACTAAATTAGTAAAAATGTAAAAATACAAAGATGCAAAGAAGACCTAAGATTAAGTAAATGTGGACTGACCTTGAGAAGAGACCACCCTGGATCGAACCAGGTCTACTTTGTTACCAACTAATATAGCTGGCTTTCCTTGAAGGAAATCCTGATCATGAAGACGTTCCAAGTATTCTTCGGCTCTTTGAAAGGATGCCTTATCGATCACAGAGTACATAATGACAAAAGCATCCGGGTGCAAATTCTCCAGTTCCGTCTTGCAGAAACAGAAAGGTATAAAGGTACATTTAAAATCAACCCGTAGGCACTCATCTACGGATCGTTTCTCGTGGCTGGGCAAATTATGCTCATCTCGAAAATGAGTACTTTTCTTGAAAATATATAACAAACTCTAATTTAAAGTAATCATGCAATGTTTCTAGTAGCAACAGGGCACCTGTTGTACCAACGTGTCGTGGACACCAACACCTACCACGCGAAATGCTTCAAGTTTATTGAGTTTCCATTAATGCACCGCATCTGCTATCATTTTCGCGTGTATCGTTTCAACCAGCACGCGATTAAATACTCCAACTTACGGTGGCAGGCTAAATTATTATACTCGGGAGATTTCTTCTTGAAAATATGCGACAGACGCGACTTTAATTGGTTTAACAATGTTGTTGATACTCGATGCATCGATAAGCAATATATGACAAACCTGTGAGTAACGTGTTAACGCGTAAATCTCGTTTCTGGAATAAAAGGCGGGTGTGGATATAAGGTTATGTTAAGTACTCTATGTTTCGAGACTCTGTTGGTGGTTGGACGAAAATCTTGACTTCGATTTAAGTAGACGTTGTACTCGGTAGGTGCTGGATTTTTATATACTCGGAATCGTAAATAAAAATGGCGGTGTGACGAAATATTAAATAATCGTATTTCTTTGTGTAGTATAGTTCGACTTATGTTTAAGTGTTCAATTTTTACTTTCGAAAGATTGTCGTTGAAAAATAATATTATAGGATTATTATAAAAATTTTGTGTTCTGTTGGTTAAGATTGTAAAATTCGGAATTTTCTTTTTTAGTATCGTTACCAATTGTGTACATGTGCACGTACTATTGTATAATATTGTGTTTATGCATACATGTAAGCCTAATATGTATACATGTATGCTATGTATATACATATGTACATGTATTAGGTCGAGTCATATGTAACTTCCGTTTTTTTATCAGACATTTATTTCGTTCTCATTAAACAACAAAATTATATTATTTTATTATATATTCACCACTATTTTCGATAACCTTCTGGTAGTTTATCAATTCCTTCCTTATAAAATGTGGTTGGTTTGGACTGGAAGAAGCTTTCAACAGCCTGCCTGACTTGCTCTTCAGAATTGAAGGTTTTTCCATTTAAAAAGTTTTGTAAGGAACAGAAAAGGTGGTAGTCTGTCGGGGCAAGATCTGAGAAGTAAGGTGGATATGGTAAAACAGACCATCCAAGCTCAAGAATTTTTTCTTGAGTCACCCTTGCTGTACGCGGTCGCGCGTTGTCGTGTAAAAGAATGACATTTCTGCGATTGACGAGTGCAGGGCGCTTTTCTAGGAGTTTCTCTTGCACCTTTTGCAATTGCTGAATGTATTTATCTGCAGTAAACGTTAAATTTGACTTCAACAACTCGTAGTGACTTATACCTTCATAATCTCACCATACACACAATAAAATCTATTTAGCTGCATCGGAAGTTACTTATGACTCGACCTAATATATGTATGTGTATATGTATGTGTATATGTATGTGTATATGTATGTGTAAATGTATGCTTCTTATATGTACACTATTGTATTGATCTGCAGCCCCAGAAATTTAGGAACCGGAGATAATTTGCCCATCCACTGCAATACGGCCATATTTTCTTGTAGTCTAAACTGTCTACAAAGGACGCAGCTTATTTTCCCAATATTACACGTACCTTCGGATTGGCGATGTTGAGGAATATCAGCTTGCTTTCCTCGTCGTTCAACATGACGCAAACGGATTGCTCACCGGACACGTCTGAAACAAAAAGAGACAAACGTTGTACAAAAGCGATTCAAAGAGGGTTACAGAAAAAAAAGGAAAGAAAAGGGTCATGAGCGCAGGGAGACGTACAAGAAGAAGGAAAAGAACCCCCTTTGATTTGCTGGCTCATTTATTTTTCCTCGGTCCATCCCCTCACGAAGGACACGTTTGCGATGGACGCAAGCAGAATGAAACACACACGGCAGAAAGGAAAATAATCGAATCGAATCGGGTCCGCCGTAAATAAACTACAGCACAGACGAAGGGAGACGAATTCGTTGTAGTGACGGCCATGTGACGTCGTCGAGCACCGCGTAATCTTGCCGTCTAAATGCGTCCACGTCGACGCTCGCTCGTCAACGACTATTCCGAAACGTCGTCGACTTCCTGGCTTTTTATCGATACCGTAATTCGATGATGTCAGACGGCATCGTCGATTTCCGGATACGATCAACACCGTTTCCTCTTTCGTTTTTACCACACCCTTTCAAATCACTTCGTATTTTGTACTTCATGTAGTCTGTACGTTTCTATGTACTTCTATGTTATATTATACGTTTCTATGTTGAACTGAAGAATCTACGTTTCTTTGTTGAACACCGGACTTGTAAACACAGGGTGGATAATATCGTGTAAAAGTGGACATCGCGTAATTCCTTGTGAAAAAATAAGGAAAAAGTTTGCTGATTTATGCCTTCCTTTTTGAGGAAATGGAGTGTGGAGTACAGCTGTAAATATTCGAACATTGGAACGTTTTGTGTCGAAATATTCGAATGTCATTTATATTGGAAGTAGTTGAATTTCATTGATGTTGGAAGTAGTCGAATTTCATTAACATTGGAAGTAGTCGAATTTCATTGACATTGGAAATATATCCAATTACGTTTCATTGTTTCTTTATATTTCTGCAAAATTTCTAATTTCAAAGCAAAGAGTGAAGTGAAGTTGTCATACGCTGGCAAGATTACTTAATGCATTTTACATCAGTCAGAATTAATTATTACATTACAATCTGATGCTTACTCCTGAACATTATAATTACATTGCACCAATACAAATTACATTATCTATAATTGTAACCAGTATTAAACTCCTAACTCCACCATAGCAGAAATACGAATCAGTTCCATCACATTCGTACCGCAACGAATATGAAGGGTTTAACTGACAAGTACTTCAGAAATAAACGCGTTAACACCGTAAAAAAACCACCACAAAAAGAACCAACAAAACTCGCACAAGAAGCAAAGATTTACGCCGCGAAACGGCAAAAGAAAGGGCGAAAAAAGGGCGAGGAAAGAAGAGGCGAGAAAAGAAAAGATCGGACGATGAACAGACGCGCAGCTTGTATGATGCACGTTTATAGCACCGACGCAAAATTAACCGGGGCTATTTCTGTCCGGGCTGTTCCTGCACTTTTCTTTTTTCCACCTTCCTGGAAATCGGCGTGCTCGTTTCGTTTGCCCCTCGCACTTTTCCACGAGCTCGCGATTTTCCATCGTGTCTGCAAAATCTCCGACCCCCTTTTGTTTTCGTCCACCAGACGTGGTTGACGTTTCTTGGCCTCGATCCCGATTTCGTGGCAAAATTATTGCACGAAACTTGACATCGGCCCCGATCTTCATTCGAGAGACGATCGTCGACCATCGAATGAAATGGTTGGTCGAAAATCGAGAGATAACGATAATGTTTGCGTAGGGAAAGTTTAGGTCTTGGTTGTCGAAGTTTGGACTTGATGGAATTAGGAGTACCATGGATTTTACATATTTTTCGTAAAATTAGAAGATTTGTTTTAATTGTAACGATGTAATTTAGCTATTAATATGATATGTTACTGTATATAATATTAACACATATTAATGTCTTGTATTTTTACCCATATGCTTGGTCCACATGTTTGGTTCACATATTTGGTCACATCTTTCGCACATGCTCTGTATACGTCGATCAAATGCTTTATATCTTCATTATTTTCCCAAATTCTTTATCGACCAATTTCAACTCAGATAATTGAAGAGTTGTAAACTAGTCTTTTGAGTGGTTTCCATTTTCTATAGTATTCAAGTTTCACCTCTCGCGCTACACTCGAATCTAACCTAAACGCTCGGTCCGTAGTCCCTCCCCCACATAATTTATCAAGATACCTAAACATCGCAACTAACATACTTAATAATAATTTAAACCCAAGACAATTTTCCATATGTGCCACAATTTTCCATACGTACCACAATATTAAAGCCATAAAAGTAAAATATTCATACCGACTAAAACGTTTGAAGTATATCGGAATATTTATACCTCGAATTGCGTTAGGAGAAGCCATATTTCTGGAAAGCAGACACGTTCGGTTTCCTCTCAATTTCCGCAGCTCGCATTTAAGCATTGATCTTTTCGCGATGCAGCACGATTGGTTAAGACATCTGTATTATTGAAACGAACGAATCTCTGATCAAGACTCCAGCTGCTCTTGAAACTTGTAAGCGACGAAATGGATCGGTGGCAATTTTGCAAGGGAGCCGAGACTCCGTCCAAGTAAATTGGAACTTCGGTTCGAACTTATTTATGTTCCGACTGATAAGGTGTTCGATTAGTTTTGAACACAAGTCGAACTATCCTCAAAGCCTGATAATTACGCGAGTTTGTTAGAAAACGGAGAAGCGTTGAAGCTGGGACTGAAGACCTACCGCTGGTCGATAAATATACCTTTCAGAAAGTTGGATCGGTATTTTAATTGAGCTCCGGTGGACTTAGAATGAGAGATTCTCTGGTATCGACGTTAGTCATTCTTTAAACTTTCCTTACTAATTGAATATGGGATTTGATCATGATCTTAGGAATCATAAGTAGAGAATTCATTGACGAGGTATGACTGAACATTTGCTTGTCTGAGATAATCTTTTGACTGACTGATAAACTTAACTGACAATGACTTGATTCAACAGGTGAATATACAAGTTCTTGTCTGAAATAATCTCTTGACTGACTGATAAACTTGAGTGACAATGACTGGATTCAACAGGTATAAAGATGGAGCACTATTAGCATTTCTTGATCTAAGCAATCTCACATAATGAGACAAATCAGTAATGATGACTGATGAGTTTGACTGACAATAACTTCACTGAAGAGGTACACATGTGGAGTACTATTATCATATATTGACCTAGGCAATCTCACAATAGTCATAATGAGAAAAATCAGCTGTAACTGCACTGACAATAACTTGACTGAAGAGGTACACATGTGGAGTACTATTATCATATATTGACCTAGGCAATCTCACAATAGTCATCATGAGAAAAATCAGTAGTAACTGCATTGACAATAACTTGATTGAAGAGGTACACATGTGGAGTACTATTATCATATATCGACCTAGGCAATCTCACAATAGTCATCATGAGGAAAATCACTGGTAACTGCACTGACAATAACTTGATTGAAGAGGTACAAATGTGGAGTACTATTATCATATATTGACCTAGGCAATCTGACAATAGTCATCATGAGGAAAATCAGTAGTAACTGCACTGACAATAACTTGACTGAAGAGGTACACATGTGGAGTACTATTATCATATATTGACCTAGGCAATCTCACAATAGTCATAATGAACAAAGTCAATAGTAGCTTGCTTAACAATAACTTGATTGAAGAGGTACACATATGGAAGGCAATAGAAGACAATGTCAGTCTAGTATTGTTTTTTGTTCTGGACAATTACAGAGTCGTTCATTATTTTTGAACCTAGGAGTACTATTGCTACTTTGTGACCTAGGCAATCTCACAATAGTCATAATGAACAAAGTCAATAGTAGCTTGCTTAACAATAACTTGATTGAAGAGGTACACATGTGAAAGGCAATAGAAGACAATGTCAATCTAGTATAGTTTTTTGTCCAGGACAATTACAGAATCGTTCATTATTTTTGAACCGAAGCAATAAAGTGACTATGCTAGTACTCTTCAGCATAGACAAATGAATGAATACAAAAATTAATGATAAAAGTGCATTTGGATAAAAGTGCAATGTTAAAAGCACTTACAGGTAGATGTAGCCAATTCTGTTTCGATTTAACTAGGTAAAAACTTAACTAGATACGGATTAAATCGATTCTGCCTCGTTCAGGATTGCCTACGGGGTCATCGCGCTATTACCTGTCTATTATGCTCATGCTGCATACCATAATCCACGAGCATGCACGATTTGCTGCAGCAACGAGGAGATTAAAGCGAAACCACGGGTTGAGTATCGCTGACATAAACCATATCCCGTTATAATTTGTTTAGAAACGATGGCTCATCAGTTGATTGCAATATGGATAACCAACGATACCAACTTCACTCCATGAAATAACACTTATTCTTTCATTTTTTTTTTCTGAGTGTGGATTGCAAGTTTATACACTTTTTTTTGTGTTAGATGGACCCAGGATTTTTTTGGCATTTTCAAATAAGATATTGTTTAATTGTATTATATAATTTAGCAAATTTTCGTGGTTTCTGTAATGAAATATGAGTTTGAAAATTAAATTATATTTAGTTTTGGATTATTTCTTTGTACAATATTAATAAGTTATCTTAATATTCTTGATAATTTGTAGTTCTTATGCTTTTAATTGCACCAATATTTACCAAAAAATTTTATTTAAAATTTGCAAATATACACAACTTAATATTTTTATATATTCATACTTCTATATTTCTGAACTTTCATATTAAATTTATTAAATTTTCAAATTTGATATTTCTAAAGATTCAGTTCCCTAATTAACAAAATTTACAAAATTTCTAAATTCAAAAATTTTAATTTGTACAAATAGTAATCGCACCATCACTACTTGTGATTATTCATACTATTCATATTAGTGACCGTAAAATCTTTTTCCCATCACTGAATTAGATGCCTCGCACTGTTGATATTTATATAACTTTTCAAGAATATTTTTACGGAAGAACATCCTGTGTACGTTGCAACACAAGGTATTCTTTTTTTTAACTCCCATAAACTCTGAACTTTATGCTTGTAGCATGCAACTTTAAAGCTTTGAAATCGAGCTGAAAATTCGAAATCTTTCTGGTTCGATAAACTCGATACAGTTTTGCAAAAACGTCGCTGAAAAAGAAACATTTCACCGAACGAAATTTCGAGCTCTTTTTATTTTAACTTAACTTTCATTTTTTACTTTTCATTTTTTAGTTCTTAATTTTAACTTAACTTATTATTTTTAACTTTTACTTTTAATTTTTTATTTTTGACTTAATTTTTATTTTCAGCTCTTAATTTTAACCCAACTTTCATTTTCTACTTTTCATTTTTAATTTTCATTTCCTAGTTCTTAATTTTAAGTTAATTTCTACTTTTAACTTTTACTTTTTAGTTTTTATTTTTAACTTAATTTTTATTTTCAGCTCTTAATTTTAACTTAACTTATTACTTTTAATTTTTACTTTTTAGTTTTTATTTTTAACTTAATTTTTACTTTCAGCTCTCAATTTTAACTCAATTTTCGTTTTTAATTTAATTTTTATTTCCAACTCCTAATTTTAACTTAACTTTTACTTTCCACCTTCTATTTGCACTTCAACTTTTATTTTCCTTTTCCATTTATCCTTGACGTTTTTTATTAAAAATGGTATATTTAGAGATTTCTGAACATTCAAATATTCTACCACAATTTTCATAATTCTCTCAAACGTACAGCCAGAATCTCCAACTAATAAAAGTCACAAATATTTCGTTCCAAAACAGAAAGGAAGAAAATTGACTTTGAAAGCGAAACACAAAGATAAACCACATTCGTTATAAATTGTCAGCAATTTCTTACGAATTTTATTAGTGAGGAATGCAGTTGTAAATTTTTTAATGAGATCGCAAAAATTTTCACACTAAACCTACCGACGTATAATTTGTACTTAATCTGAGATGAAAAATGAAGTCAAAAAATAAATAAGCAAACGACAAAACATAAATTACACACATTAATTCAGTACACAGATATCAGAAGAATCACTTAAACAAATTGTGTAATTTATACTAAGGCTCTTATAGAACGGTCTTTTGATCGCTTTGGTGAGGTCGGGTTAAGTTAAGTTAGGTTAGGTTTATATAATATTGTTATGTTATTGTTATGATTTTAGAAGAATCGCTTCAACAAATTGTATAATTCATTCTAAGGATCTTACAGAACGGTCTTTTGATCGGTTTGGTTAGGTTAAGTCAGGTTAGGTTAGGTTTCTATAATATTGTTATATTATACATAATATAATATTTTTATATTATATAATACATAATGTCCACATATTCTGCGT